GCAAAGAAAAAACCTAAAATGGACCAGCAATCTCAGCAGCCAGTGTCTAGGGTCACCCAGCCATCCTCTACGGCACTTTTGAGTCCACAGCTTGTGGCTTCCCAAACTACTCCCACCAGCTCTACATGGCAGTCACCAAGTGTTTCTCGCGCCCACCATTCCCTTATCACATCACCAGTCACACCTGTTAACTCATCATTTCATTCTGGAAATGACCGATCGGGTCCAGTCTCTTTGGTGACGTCACCCGTGACGCCGACTCCTGTCAGGTTAGTGTCCAGTGATTTATCTTCCGTGGTTTCCTTGCCATCGCGGTCAGCGTCCTCTAGTGGCCCAGGCAGTGAAGTACCACCGATGGTGTCATTTGTGCAAAGCGGTCTCTCCTGCATCTCTCCCTTGAGCCCTTTATCAAGTATGTCCAGTGCATCAGTATCTCGCTCTCTTACCACCGGTGCTACTCCTCTCAGCTCTCTCTCAGCATCAACACAGAAGTACTTGAACACGTTCACGACACAGAGCACTGAAGCTTCACGAAGCTTCCCTGCCTCAACCAACCAGTCGTCATTTGCAGGTCGAACGTCATTTCTCAATACAGACTTATCAACAGACCACAGTGCTGGGATCAAGTTGCTTTGTGATCTGCTCAATGACACCCTTCCTGAGCAGCCCCCTCCCCTGGTGGCCACGTCACTAGCTGTACGATCTCTAGGAACTCCAACATCAGTATCATCAGCATCTTCAGACTCTTCTGTAGTTGAGCAAGGAAGACACCCAACCACCCCTCCCACTCTTCCAAGCAGGCCTTCATCGAAATCCCCGAGGACCCCTCCCCTGGGAAACACTCTAGCGCGTCCGTCCCCCGGAGGTACTACATCTTCCTCGGAACAAACACCTACTCACAATACCCCACCTACTGCAGAAGCTCCCGCTGCGGGGAAGAAAAGAACATCGCCATTTACGATTGAAAACCTGGTTAGTTCAAACCCAGAAAAGAGTAAAAGTCCGGGTGAAACTGGTGTTGGAGAAAGAAACCCCAGCCCTGTATCAGCCAACAGTAGACGCAGCCCTAAGGGGAAGAATACAAACTTCAGTATTGCGGAAATCACCCGTGATATGAACCCGTCTAGTAAGGAACGTGTTCCTTTTGTGACAGGACCAGTGGGCTGTTCAGTTCCTACATCTGTGTCACCTGGCCAAGAGAAGCAGAATCAGCGAAGGATCTCTCCACCATTGGCAACGATTACAAATCCTGAACCCGATGGGTCTGTCGTGGTATCTACTGGCATAAAGCCTTTGAATGCAGTCCAGAGTTCCACAGGCCAAAAATCCGATCCCATTCCCAAGAATGAAGGAGAGTTAAAACGAGGACAATTGTCTGCACCCGTGGCCAGAGTGAGTAGTGTATCCGCCCATATGAACAGCTATGTGCCATCGAGCTTGGTCTCAAAAAGTTCTGCTTTAAAACAGGACGTTGTTCACTCCGAAGGTCAAAATCCCATCAGCAAACATCATGAAGATCGTAGCTGTTTGGATTCAAAGCTAATAAGCCCAACTCCTGATCGTACTCCATCTCAAAAAGCCCAGCCTGTTTCTGATGTTCCCAACGACGAAACTGCCTCCAGTGAAGTTAGTTCTTCTATTCCTTCATCGACTTCAAGCCCTGAGCGTCACAGACCAGATGCATCGACTCATGCCTCTGAAATCATCTCCGATGTTCCGTTAGATATGATTCCTCTTCCGAGCGGTAAGAGACCCAGCCCTACCAGTTTGTCAGGAAAAAAAGGTTCCGCTAACAAGAAGCGCCGTTCTCCTGTTTCGCAGATTCCAAAATCCGCGAGTCCAGATTCCGAGGTCACCAGCCTTATGACTAATGAGGCTCTTCCCCAGTCTCCGTCAATCTCGTCTTCCGTTTCAAAGGCGACAGCGGTGTTAGAAGGTCAGGCACCTGTGTTAGTTGATAGTAATCCCTGCTCAGCACGCAGTCCTATCCCAGTAGCCCCTTCGTCACTGCTACAGCCTCAATCTGGAGTATCACTACCCTCCTTTGGAAGTGTTTTTTCGCTCCCCAAGGAAGAACAGACTGTGACATCACAGAACTCAGCAGCCAAAAGCAGGTACGGATTGTATTTAGTAGCGTAAGCGTAGCAGTCGACTAATCAAAACGTACCAATTTTTTATTTTATATATTTTGTTTTTTGCGCAGCAGTCATGTCTCTGAGATGCCAAGCCAATGCACAAAATTAGCATCCGCCGAGCCTCCCGCGAAGAAACGGAAGCGTAAAGACAAGAAAAAGATGCCTGGTAAGGCTGCCAAGGGAGCGTTAAGCCTGTTAATACAGTATGACAGTGACAGTCAAAGCTCGTGTAGCACCCACGGCACCGAGAGTGATGATAGTTCCGCCCACAGTACTAGCCCGGTCAGCGGTACACTTAGTCCAGTTGTAGTGGAAACCACAGAAACTCCTCGGTGCCAGACCCCCGGAGCACAGCCAGAACAAAGCCAAAAATTCTCCGCCAAGAACGCCTCGCACATTAACGGTGCTACATCACCAAAGGGGAGGCAAAAAAGCACGGTAAAGAAACAGTCCAGCGTTGGGAAGTCGGCTGCTGAGAGGAAGAAACCCAAAGGAAGAGGAAACCAACGAGGAGACGTGCTTAACGCTTCGCCATTTGTTAACCTGAATGACACTGTGGGTTCAATGCAGCAGATAAAATCCGCAGGACCTAGCGTCGCGGTGCCTACCAGCTATCAACCCTATCCGCCCGCTTACTCAAGCTACCCAACCCCAGGGCAACAGGGCTATGTCATGTCGAATTTCTCAATCCCCACCGGCACACTCAACTTTACCCCAGGGGGACATCAGTTCTCTGCAAGTCTTCCACAGTATTACACAGGAGAGGCGCACCCTGCTCCTACCGGGTACGGCACTTCACCAGGGGGATTTTTCCCCCAGTGGCGAACAAGTTACGCCCCGATGCCGTGTCAGTCACCTGCTTTCAGTTATTCAAACAATGGCAACAATGGTGGTGGTGGTAAAGTGTATAGATAAAGACTAGAAGGAGTTAATTGTTAGTTAGTACTTAAGCACTTGGTGTGGTGCGTTTTCTTGGTGCCTTCTAGAAAACCAATGGTAAATGGTGTTCTAATATAAGACAATACAACAAACAAATACTTACGATTTTCGTCCTCAAATTTAATATCGCCTTGTACAATGTACAGCATAATAAACAGCGCCACAAGGAAGTTATGCTTACTAGCTTTTATGTCCCATTTTAGGATTTTAGGCACAGACTCAGATATCAGAACAACTTTGTACAGCATAGTAAACAGTACTACAGGAAAGTACTGCTCAGCAGCTTTCATTTGAATGGTCGCACTTTAGGATTTCATCCACAGATTCAAAAGTTAGAACCACCTTTTACAGCATAATAAAACAGTACGACAGGAAAGAACTGCCCAAGAATGGTCACTCTTAAGGATTTCATGCACTTTGTTTAGCATAACAGACAGCACCACCTGAAATTGCTGCTCAGTAGCTTTCACAGATGCCACAGTGTGCACACTCACAACGTAATAAGCGACACAACAAGAGGGTAATTCTCTTAAAGATAAAATGATTCTTGGAGGGATTCTTAAAGTAAATGCTTCTTGCAGTTACTTGAATATGCCTATTTATACTACATGAATATACGATAAAATTAGTATACAAAAGTTTTCTCTTTATAGGTTGTCTATTTATCATGGGAAAATTGATTATTTAGGGTGAACCTTTCTTTGCTTTAGAAGGAAAACGTTTACATTTTAATATAGTTAGTATGAAATTTTGAAATCTTTGTAATGAAATTCCTGTTAAGAGTCGCTTATTGCGGCTCTATGTCTTTCAGTCGTTTTATCTCTTTTTAACTTGTGTAAATATGCTTGATCTAGGCGTTCATTTGCCAAGAAAAAAACTTTTTCTAGATCGTTGCAATTCTTTGTTGAAATTTAACGTTTGTTATACTTTAACTAGTTGGTCCGTTTTCTTTACTTGAATCACCAGCTATCAGATTCGCATTTAGTAAGTATTGCAGCTTCAATCGCGAGTCGTTTCCAAGAACCAGTGAGATTTCTGCTGCTTTTTAAAAGAGTCCTAGTGTCCTGATTTAATCTTGCAGCAACCACCTCTGTCAGTCTTGACGTTTCTTCTTTTAATGTGAACTGTCAGTTAAGGGTTTTTAGAGAAAGAATGATCACTGGATAGAATCATGTTTCAACAGAGAGCTACGTTTTCGGTGTTTGTAAGTCAGAAATTACAGCGGCTTTTCACTGAGTGTTGCCACAACGGAATTGACTTCTCTAGCCAATCACAACGCACGCGGGCAATGTAATGAACCAATCAGAACTCACAGAGAACAAGTGCAGCCGATCGAGGAAACGCGTAGGGAAACAGCAGATTTTATCAGCCAAAAGCAAAGCGTTTCATTGTTATTCGGATGCAATGACCGAATGAATGAAAGCCGCTGTATTCGCTTAGAAGAGGTCCACAGATAGGCTATGTCAGTATTTGAAAATCCGCAATGAAAAAAAAAGTTAAGCGTGTTTCCTAGATCTAGAATGAGTTTTCCCTTGTGTCACTCGGAACTTGCCAATTGTTTTTATCCTTAATTGAGACCCTGAAAGCGCACCGAATGTTTAAAACGTTGGCGTTCGTAGAACGATTACTTTGTCGTCGTTCGAGAAACGAGACAACCATCATATGTCTTCTAATCGTTTTTAATTCTAGAGGCTTATTACTAGTGATGGTATTAAGGAGCTTAAGCAACGACGCCGACTCCGGTGGCGAAAAGGTCACCTAAAAAGTGAATCCACGCTGTTTTAAAATTTCATCGCTCTTCATCCGTGTCGTTCGATTTGTCAAATAATAGTGAATTATTATATAGTTCAATTTAAAGAACTGTATCTAAGTTTTAAAAAAAGTAGGAAATCGTCGTGTGTTCTAGTCCTCCAGAAAACTTGAAATTAGTACAACCGACGACGACAAAGAAATATACAAACAAGCGTGATCCCTGCACGTGCCAAGTTTTGTTTTTCTAACGTAAACCTATTGTTTCTTGACGTTCTCGTTGCCGTCGTCTTCTTTGCTTACCTTATTATGCACGGTCAACGAGCGGCTTGGGTTTGAACTGTGCAGTAGATAGATAAAAGGGGTGGATATCTTAAATCTCCTTACCTTCTTGTTTGGTTCTGCGTTTGACATTAAGAAGGAAAATAGATGTTGACATCTCAGTGTGCAGCCTACCATAGAATGTAGGTTTTAGTAGAAATAGATCAAGGAGTTCTCCAACACAAGTCGCAAGTCTCTTTGAATATGGACAGTTTCCTGCTATTTAGCGCCCCATGTAAGAGAATCCGGGAAATCGTTGATTGGATTCCGGAATCCTGGGTTTTGGAATCTGGACTACAGCTTAAGGATTCCAGAATCACACTAACGATTGGAATCCGGAATCCAAATTCCACTAACAGAATCCGGAATCCAATACCAGGAATCCAGAATCCACGGTGTGGAATCCAGAATCCAAAACTGTCTTGAATTCTCTTACATGGGTCGATACTGTAATCTTCTGATATAAAAGACTTTCCACTCTCAAAAAAGATGGCAGGAAAGAGTAAAGGTTGTATAGAACAGGGTACTTCTGTTGACAGACATATGTGCCTATTGATAGTGTACAGTGGACAAATTTACCTTGAGAAAAGAATTACGCTATTTTTTATTAAAAACTTTGTTGCAGAAGCTTAAGCTTTGTTTGGTTGTGTGGATTATACTAGTGCAGTATTATAAGTTGGGAACTGTGGAGTTGCATTGTTACGCTCACAAAAAGCTTCAAAAATGGGACCGAACAGATAATAATAGGAATGGGTGGAGAACGGACACCAAAGTTGAATTTTCACTTGCATGGATTTTATTAATCTACCGTAAATCCTCTATTACGCCCCCGTGTCAAATACCCCCCCCCCCGCCCCTTTTCAGGGGAAGAAAGCTAATAAGCTCCCCCTCTCTGTAAAGCCCCCCCCTCCCTCCCCTAATTATTCTTCACTAATAAATGATAGACTGGATTAATCAATCACGACTGGAAAACTTCGTGTGGACTGATCCCGGATGGTTTCTTTACCAACTGTAAGAGCCGCGACTTCTGCCAATTGAAAGTCTGATCCTTGGCTGCATGGCCTGCAACCTTCTTGTACTTGAGCTTTTCCATTTTGTATTGTAGTTCTTTATGGAGAACTGATACCATCCTCTTTTCTAAATTAAATAAGCTCTGGCCCCCATCTTAAATAAGCCCCCCGTCTCTATCAACCCCCCCCCCCCCCTCCCCCCCTCCCCCCCCCCCCCACACCCCCCCCCCCCCAGCGGCCCATCATCTAGCCTCCCCCCTCTGAGCGTCTGTCGGACGACGATTGTCAACAACCTAGTGTTGCTCTTGTCATCTAGTCTCACAGTCAAAGCTCTGGCCCCCATCTTAAATAAGCCCCCCGTCTCTATAAACCCCCCCCCCCCTTCCCTCAAATTGGCTTGAAATAAATAAGCCTCCCCGGGGGGAGGCTTAATAGAGGATTTATAGTAAGATCTCTTTGACGGATAAACATGAAACGCAATTTATTAGGATTTTTTGTTATTTTCCGGCTTTCCGTGATTGAGTTTGAGTTCTCCTAACGATTGCCACAGGCGCCTATATTTAGGACGTGTTCGATTGAAAGTATTCCGGAATAAGACTTAAGAGGGATGATGGAATCAATTAGGAAATTGAGTAATTTTAATTCTCACTGGACAAAAACCTTTCAGTCATGTTGCATTCTTTTATACACCTTTCGAATGCTATTATTGTAATAAGTTACAAGAAATTAAAAACTGAAGCGAAAAGGTTCTCATGGGAGACCGAGAAAGCAAACTTCAAAAGCTTCAAATTTCACCAAACGAAACTTACGCATATCGATTTTACTTGTGTTTTCTCAATTCCTATGAAATTTGAAATCTATTTTCTCGGGCTCCCATAACAACCTTTTCTTTGGAGTTATTTCATATAACTTACCACATTTATAGTCCTCGAAAAGTGTAAAAAATGCGAATATGTAAAGAATGCGATATGGCTTAAAATATTCTGGTACAAGGCCCACCGGAAAGTAAAATTACTTAATTTCCTGATGGGTTACTTCTTAAACTCTAGAAATCAATTGTTTTGGCATCCATGCCATTGCAGTATCTAAAAATCTGCTTGGAATGGAATATTCCGATGCGTGTAGAGTTTAAATGGTGCAAATCACAGTAGCAGAGATTTGTAACAAAACGTTCACTTATTCCGGAACAGGATCAATCAAACGCACTGTTGATATGACCGTATTGTAATCCCAACCATCTAAAATGTAACTATTTGCAGAGAGCTGCAGTCAACTATTCCACCTACACGTTACAAATTTCTTTATAGAGATAGAGTCATCAAGATTTACTAGACCTAAATAAAAATCGAACAGAAGGGGTTTTAGCAGACCAAGGCAACCCTACTGAGTGGTCTTTGGGAAGGTGACCATGGATAATCGTGTGTAGGAAGACGTTTAAAAAATGTGTTGCTCAGCCTAAATACGGGTAAGAAAAATAGTTGAAAACGTCCGGTCTACTTTTTCAAAGTTTGACTGAGCAAGTTAAGAAAAACTGCATACATATGCTCCCGCAAAAACAGTTTATTATGGCCGGATTCAGTGCTGCAACTTATTCGATTATTTTCAAAGGCCGTTTTGTGCCGCATTATCGAATATAAAATCTAGGTCTTAGTGTAGTTAACATGAAAATTAAGTTTGAATGAATTATCATGACACTTTCCCTGTTTAAGTTTTTATTCTTGGAATTAGAGTATCTGCACTGCCAAACTTCCCTGTGCCGCATAATGGCTTGGCGATGATTCTTACCATTTTTAGATAAAAAGTTGTGTGACCATTTAAATGAAAGTTATTGATCACTACTTTTATGCGGTACAGAGTAGGGATGAAAGGAGTTTTCAATTCTTTTTGTGATTAAAA